GTCAGTGTAGAAGAAGGAACTCATGTAGACCCAAATGCCAATACTAGTGAACCCATGCATTCTTCTGACGTCACCACAGAAAATGCAAGCGAAGACAGTCCTGACGTTAGGGGGGTGGCAATGTTGAGCAACAGCAGCACTCTAATTCTCATTTGGGGCATGGGCATCGACAGAAATAGTAGTCCACAAGGTTAAGAGACTATGTGCTTTACACCACACAACGCTTGAGTCCCTCTCCACGTTCCTTTGCAAGCTCTTTCGGCCAATCACATCCTGCAAGTAGTCCTTATCCCATAGATAACTATGTGAATTGTAACAATTTTTCTTATCGACATCGTGCTTTCTTGGAAGCTATTACTGCAAGAGTTGAACCTACTTCTTTTGCTGAGGCCGTAAAGGATGAAAAATGGAGGGATGCAATGCAGAAAGAAATACAGGCACTTGAGAATAATCAGACATGGACCGTAGAGCCTTTGCCATCCGGAAAATGAGCCATAGGATGCAAATGGGTATATCGAATCAAGTACAACGCTAATGGGACAGTGGAAAGATACAAAGCCTGTCTCGTGATCTTTGGGAACAAGCAGGTTGAAGGAATTAATTATAATGAAACTTTTGCCCCAGTTGCAAAAATGGTTACTGTCCGTACTTTTCTTGCAGTTGCAGCAGYTAGAAATTGGGAGCTTCATCAAATGGAYGTACATAATGCATTCTTGCATGGTGACCTTCATGAGGAAGTCTACATGCGAATGACTCCTGGTTTTCAGTCAGATAAACCAGGTATGGTGTGTCGGTTGCGAAAATCTCTATATGGCTTGAAACAAGCGCCGGGATGTTGGTTTGCTAAATTAACCACAGCCTTGAAGACATATGGGTTTCAACAATCAGGTTCAGATTACTCCCTATTCACCTTTCGTCGATACAGGGTACATGTGCTTGTCCTCGTGTATGTGGACGACATTATCGTGTCAGATAATGATCATATGGCAATTCAATTCTTCAAGAAATATTTGAGTGACTACTTTCATATGAAAGATTTGGGACCACTGAAATATTTTTTGGGCATTGAAGTTGCCCGAAACTCAACAGGAATTTTTCTGTCTCAATGAAAGTATGCTCTGGATATTATCGTTGAAGTTGGATTACTTGGTGCAAAACCTGTTCCTTTTCCTATGGAGCAGAATCACAATCTGGCCTTGACAGATGGGCCTCTCTTATTTGATCCTAAGCGATACAGGCACTTGGTGGGTAGGCTTATTTATCTCTCAGCGACTCGTCCTGAGTTGTCTTATTGTGTGCACGTTYTGTCCCAATTCATGCAGCAACCGCAAGAAAGACATTGGGAGGCTGCATTGCGAGTGGTGCGCTACTTTAAAGGAAATCCTGGTCAAGGAATTCTATTGCGTTCAGATTGTGACTTGCAGTTATATGCATGGTGTGATTCAGACTGGGCGAGTTGTCCTTTGTCCCGATGTTCCCTATCTAGGTGGTTTATTCTACTTGGGAAATCGCCGATTTCCTGGAAAACTAAGAAACAACACATTGTGGCTCATTCTTCAGCAGAAGCAGAGTATCGATTTATGGCCACGGCCACGTGTGAATTAAAATGGCTGAAGGGATTGTTATTGGCTCTTGGAGTGACGCATTCGAACCCAATGCGATTGTATTGTGATAGTCAGGCAGCCTTGCATATTGTAGCAAACCCAGTGTTTCATGAGCATACAAAATATATTGAAGTTGATTGCCATTTTGTTCGTGATGAGATTCAAAATGTTTGCATTCGTCCTGCTTATGTGTCGACTACCGTTCAGCTAGCTGACATCTTTACAAAGGCACTGGGTCGCAGAGAATTTGAGTATTTTCTCCGCAAATTGGGCATTCACTATCTGCATGCTCCAACTTGAGGGGGGGTGTTAGGATTGAATTAGGAGTCTCCGGGATTAGGAGACTCCGCTGATTTAGGATCGAATTCGGAGTAGGAGTCTCCGTTCTCTTCTAATCCTTATCTTGTATAGTTGAGATAGGAAAGACAGGTTTGAGTTTGAGTTCCTGTAAACTTAGGAGATTCAATGGTTGTATATATATATATATATATATATCTGAATCCTCAATGAATGAAAAGACAAGAAAGGAAAAACCAGAAAAGTTATGGTTTTACATAACTCACCCATTAACAAATTTCATTCAAAGAAAATGACTTCCAAGGAAAGAAAAGTAAGGGCCCATTTGGTGTGTCTTTCTATATGGTTTTTTGGCTGTTTATAAGTCAGAAAGACCGAAAATCGATTTAGTTTCATTTGGCATACGGAAGATCTAATCACCAAAAGATGAGATGCGCAAAATCCATTTTRGACTGATTTCGAAAAGCTCCAAATGAAGCTTTTCGTGTCTTTTGCATTTTAATTTCGTGCGAAAAGACCCAAAATGATGCACGGAAAAACACACATCTGCCAAACGATATTCAGATTGCCCAAACCTATGTCAAAAGCTCAATACATCTTTTGATTGTCAGAACTACAAGAAGATCTCAAAAAGACTTACCAAACAGACCCTACGTTAACCAAAAACTATAAACCCCTCGCTTTCCTGTGATGATTAATTAGAAAGCTGCTTCACTCAAGAAATTTCAAAMTGCACATGCTGGTAGTTTGATGGTTTGTAACTTATATAAATGCTTGACTGTTACACGCAAAATAAATAAAACAATATATAAATAAATAAACTGATTCATGTTCCTAGCAAAAAGGATGGATCTGAAATATGATATTATTCTACCAAGACGATTTCATTGACATTGCTCGGTCCAAAGTCGTGGCTTTGAGTTGGATGACAAAAGATCTACCAGCTGCTTGGAATTAGAAAAATATATTATATAAGTGATATGTGCGAATTTGGATTATCTGAATGCGGTAGCTGTTTAGCCAGCTGTGGAATGAATGATAATGCCCCTCATTGGTAAAAAATATACATAGGGCCCATAGTGAGAAATTAAATAGTTGTGAATCCCATGCATTTTATTACTCGCTGAACAGCTATAACATTCAGTTAATCCTTATTCTATATCTGCTCTAAGACAAAGCAAAAAGTAAAGAGGATGGATCTATTTCAATACCAGCCTATTGAGTTGATTATTACAATTTACAACTTTGAGTATTTTATCCAAGGAAGGACCAGGCAATACATCTCTTACTGTATAACAAATGGCCCCTAACTCACCAGAGACATTCCATTAGGGCTGTTCACGGGTCGGGTTGGATTGATTTATTGGTATTTTTTCAATCGACTTAACCTAATCGGTTTGAGTTGGTTTTTGTCAGTTTTGTGAATGATTTGATGGATTAAAGCTGAAATTTTATATATAATATATATATTTCTAAAATAAAACTGAAATATATATATATATATATATAATATTTAAATCGGTTCGGGTCGGTTCGATTTTGATTTATACATATAAATTTTGAAACCGAACTGAACTATCGATTTATGTTTTTTTTAACCCAAAACCAACTGGTGCTGAAGAAAAACTGACAAACTTGAATTCGATCAGACCGAATTGATCGATTTAGTTGGTTTGAGTCTTGTTATGAACAACCCTACACTCCATTGGCTCAAAAGTTAAAAAAAAAAACAATTTTTTTTTATTATCTAAAAGGTTTAGGTCATTTATTTGCAAAGGCCCGAGTTATTGGATAAATTCGTACTGCATCCTCTAAGAAAAATCTGAATGAATGAATGAATTGATTGAATAAAAATGTCAGACTTTATCATGTCCCCGGCCCATTAATAAGTAGCTAGGGCGCTATGACGACGTTGATATAATATATATGAATGGGCAATAATTTCATGGGGCCCCAACAGCCTTCTTCCTGCTTGCGTACGTAAATACTGGCAAGTGATCCGGACTCCAATGGATCGGCCTAAGATAGATAGCACAATTAATTGTAGTTAAATGTGTCTCAATAGTAATTAAGTTTTGAAAAAATATATTGTACAAATTTGCAGAGTCAAATGAATTGATGTTCTAATTTCAAGTATATCCGTCCTCCCAATACTTGGAATATAATTTCAATTATAGAGGACACAGTAGGATATGATGTCGGAGGAGTGTTTGGGAAGTAGATTTAGGAGCTTTTAATTTCTTTTATATATCTTTGTTGATGTTTCTGAATGGAGGAACAAAGCGTATAGAAGAATTTAGTTTAATTACTATAAAATCATATATGAAATGGTCTTTTATAAATGGAATGTTCACCAGAGTGGTCTTTATCAACCCTCAAGCAAATTAATTTATGATTAGTATAGTATTTCAATTGGTATACCTAGGCAAAGTCATCTTAAATGTCTAATTATATGTATGTAGCGCTGTTTATCAAAGCAATAGAACAAAATTAAAACTCAATCCAGTGATAATTTCATGTAAGACCCAGACCCTGAATGTAAGTAGTAGATTTTAATCAATTCTATCACGCAGAAGAAAATGAAGCATTTTATTTTGTTATTATTGTTATTATTATTATTATTATTTTTTTTTTGTAGCAAGTTATTAAAAGAATAGAGTATATCGATGGGAGCCTCCCCTATGTAGAAAGACAAACATAAGGCGGCCAGGTTAATAAACTCGTCTAATGGTTCAAGCAACCTGATTCATTCATTGAGCGGTTAAGACACCGTTATTAAATATTAATTAAGAATCCCTCTTGGTCTTGGGTGACTTGACTTGGATTCGTCTGCAAATAGTCATCGAAGATGACTAAATAAAGCATTTAAAAATTGTTAAGCTTGACCCATCGTATTTTTTTAACTTGTTTTTGTTGCTTGATTAAGTCCGCAAGCCACCGGGAAATATGGGAAAATTACAAATTCAACAAGAAAGATAGAACGTGTGGGTGTGTTACCAGTCTCGATCACTCACTTCCCTGATCGAGCTGATCATGTTCACACGAAATAGTAATAATAAGTTCGTTTGCGCGCGGGTTGTCGATCCCTATTATAAAACATGCATATTAGGCACTAGAAAGACACAAGATCTCTCTCTCTCTTCCTACCCAAGTGCTTATAGCCTTATAGGATAAACCCTGAGCGTATTTGTTGCAGAGATTAATCATGGCTTCTCCCGGAAATGTCCCTGCTAGGTGGATTCCGATAAGTGCAAGCCCATCAAGAAAACCACATGAAGAACCCGCGAAGAGGGTGAAAGATGATGGGTTGGAGACAGAGAGCACTGCTTCCGAAGAAGATAACACTACTAGTTGTCATGGCGTTGGCGTAGGGAGATCCTTCCCGTTCAGCACTTGCTCTTCCCCTCCACCTCCTTCTCTTTCCAACCCCATCTTCAGCCTCCCTCATACCGCCCCATCCGACGAGTCGGAGGTAAAGATGGTTCAAATGTCCCAACAGCTGGCGGGAGAAACGGGTTATGTTAGGCGCGAACCAGTTCGATTGGACTTCCAAGGGGAAGGGGATGGTGTCTACTTGACATGGAAGGATCTGTGTGTGACAGTTTCGAATGCAAAAACGGGAACCCGAGCAATCCTTCAGGATCTCACCGGCTATGCCCAGCCTGGCGAGGTCTTAGCCATCATGGGTCCCTCTGGTTGCGGCAAGTCTACTCTACTGGATGCTTTGGCAGGTGATCATCACACTAGTCCTAATTAATTTTCTTCATCATGATTAATGATTAATCTGCGCTGCTCTTCCTTAATTAATTAACACCCACACTGCAATTAAGCTAATCAATCACATATTCATGAAATTGCAGGACGACTGGGTTCAAACACAAGGCAGTCTGGAGACATTCTTGTCAACGGTCGCAGAGAGGCACTAGCGTTTGGGACGTCGGTAAGGAAATTAAAATATATAGCTAGCCTAGCTAGCTGCTACGATGCATGTCATCTGGAATGATGAATAGCTAGCTAGGCTGGTATATATATAAGCTAAGTTTTATTTCCTAGCTAGCTAGTTTAAGTTTAACTACTGGTTAATTAATTAATTTCCTCATCATCAATTTAATTATAATTAGGCTTATGTGACCCAAGATGATACTCTAATGATGACGCTAACGGTTAAAGAAGTCGTCTACTACTCCGCACAGCTCCAACTGCCGGACTCCATGCCTTTATCTGAGAAGAAGGAGAGGACAGAGATGACTCTCAGAGAGATGGGTTTACAGGATGCAATGAACACTAGAATTGGAGGGTGGGGTCACAAGGGGATTAGTGGCGGCCAGAAGAGGAGGGTGAGCATTTGTATTGAGATCTTGACCCGCCCGAAGCTCCTCTTTCTAGACGAGCCCACCAGTGGTCTCGACAGTGCGGCATCCTACCATGTCATGAACCGAATCGTGGGCCTAGCTCGACATCACGGAAGGACTGTCATCGCATCCATCCATCAGCCTAGCAGTGAAGTCTTTGAACTCTTCCATAATCTTTGTCTTCTTTCCTCTGGTAAAACCGTCTACTTTGGTCCGGCTTCAGAAGCAACTGAGGTAATTAACTATTATATATATATATATATAACCGCTTATTGATCGAGCGCTTTTGCCTAGCTGTATCTTCATGATCAGTTTCCTAGCTTCTTAATTTCTTATTAAAATTTCCATTGGACATGATAATAGTTAGTTAACACTGATAACAATTCTAATTTGTTTTTGAATGAAACTAGTTCTTTGCTGTGAATGGTTTTCCGTGCCCAAGTCTGAGGAACCCATCAGATCACTACCTTAGAACCATCAACAAAGACTTCGATACAGTGAGGAATCTGTGTTTTAATTAAGTTCCTAGATCTCTATCTTTAATTTCACTCTAGAAATTAAAATTTTACTTTTAAACTAAAAATTATTGATTATCTATGATCATTAATTAGGATATAGAACAAGGCCTGGATGGCCAGAAAATAGCTACCGAAGCTGTGATTAACATTCTTGTACAAGCATACAAGTCATCTCACACTAGCCAACAAGTAAATACAAGGGTAGCTGAGTTATCTAAAAGGGTACGCAAGTAGTGTTTGACAGCTGAAATCCTCTTCCATGTTATATATTTGTGTATAAATTAGCTTTACGTAGACAGCTTTTGCTCTTCATCAGGAAGGAGAAATTTTGGAGAAGGGAAGCCAAGCTAGCTTCCTTACGCAGTCCCTCGTTCTTACGAAACGGTCCTTTGTGAACATGTATCGTGATCTAGGCTACTATTGGTTACGATTGGCAATCTACATCGCACTGTGCTTATGTGTGGGCACCATCTTTCACGATATAGGTTCTAGCTTTGGCTCGATTCAGGTAAGCCAGCCGATGAATATTAAGGATTTAATTAATTAATATAGTGAAAGCATAAGTAGATGATATATATTATGGATTTAATTATTTCTTAGTGGCAATGGAGTTCACTAGCTACTGCATTCTAAGGGTAGTTCTAATTAAATTCTCAGGCTAGAGGCTCGATGCTCATGTTCGTGGCTGCTTTCTTGACGTTTATGGCCATCGGTGGATTTCCATCTTTTGTTGAGGATATGAAGGTGATGAATTTCATCTCTCAAACTACATTAATTTTATAATGGGCAAATCTCTTAAAACTGTCCTTGGACCCTTATTGTTTAGAAATTGCCTTAAAGTATCCCTAAGTTTTGTTATTGGCCTTGATTTGACAATAACACTTTGTTGGTTTTCTCCTCATGGCAAACTTTCTCCATTAGAAGAGCTTTCCAATGAATATAGATGTCTAACAAAACCATCTACTACCCAAAAATTAGATGGGATCATCCCCCTTCTTTGTTGCTACAAAGACCCCTGAACAGGTGAATAGGAGGGATCATCTCCCACTGAAAAACTAGATTTTTTGGATGCCACCTTAGCTCTTACTAGCTCCATGTCCATTTGTTTCAATATCACAAAAAATGTTGGAGGAATTCCCTTTTGTGTTCTTGACCTTCAATCAAGTAAAGGTTGAAGGGTGTGTTCTTGTCCGCTAGGTAGATGTTGAATTCTATTTTGATTTTTTGATAAATAATGGAAGGTAAGATTGACCATAAAAGGGGAATATTAGGTTTTGAAAAATTCTATATGTCACGTGGTATCACATATGAATGGATTGTGATGGAAGGCTAACAGATGCTAACAGCAAGGGAGGATTTAGTCCATTATTGAAAAACTTAAGGGTACTTTTAAGACAATTTCTAAATAGTAGTAGTGGTAGAATTTATCAATTCCCTAAAAAATAGAGGTAATTTAAGGTGACATTTGGCATCGATTATTGATGATTCTTTGCTGTTGATTTTTCAAAAATTGGTGATTTTTTAAATCAATTAATGTCTTTTCAAAAATTGACAAATTTTATTATTTGGTATTACTTCTGCCATGTAAGACAATTATTGAGAAATCAACTTTGAGTCTATTTGGTACCGATTCTCAAGGGCCAATTATTTTTTGTATTGGAGTTATTATTCAATGCCACGTAGGATGTCATGTCATCTTCAAAAAATCTGAATCAGGTAGAAATCACAAAAAAAAGGTGATCCCTAAAAAAGGCTGATTTCAAGAATTGATTTTTGGCCAATTTCTTGAAAAACATCAAAACCGACCAACCAAACAGAAATTCGAACGGCGATTCCTCTAATGCTGATGCATCTCCTACATGGTAGTGATTTTCAAGAATTCATCATCAATGCCAAACATCACCTAAGTGATCTTCCCTTAATTTATTTAATTATCAAAAATTAAAGTCGTTGCATTAATTCTGAGAAGGTAAAGTAGTACTTAATTATTTGTTTCTTTCTTTGTGTTAAAATTCAGATCTTTCAGCGAGAAAGACTGAATGGGCATTATGGAGTGGGTGCATTTGTTGTTGGAAATTCGTTTTCGTCCATTCCCTACCTGCTTCTCATATCTCTGGCTCCAGGAGCAATTGCTTATTACCTTGTTGGTCTTCAAAAAGGAGCTGGACATTTTGTATACTTCGCTTTAGTGCTTTTCGTGTGCATGTTATTGGTTGAGAGCCTAATGATGATCGTTGCAAGTGTTGTTCCAGATTTCCTCATGGGTATTATCACAGGGGCTGGAATCCAGGGGGTGATGATGTTGAACGGTGGGTTTTTCCGATTGCCCGACGATCTTCCCAAGCCTGTGTGGAAATACCCCATGTATTATATTGCATTCCACAAGTATGCTAACCAAGGATTCTATAAGAACGAATTTGAAGGTTTAACCTTCCCCAACAATCTAGCTGGAGGCCCAGCCACCATCAGTGGAGAAGAAATTTTGAGGAACACATGGCAAGTGGAGATGGGTTACTCTAAGTGGGTGGACCTTGCAATCTTGTTTGGGATGGTGATTTTATATCGACTCATGTTCTGGGCTATTATCAAGACGGTAGAAAAGCTTAAGCCCATTATCAGAGCTTTCTTGGCTGCCCCTCCCAACCAAATGGCACAGATCATGGAGAATCCTTCTTCAGCATAAATATGATACACACCACACCTGTAATGCATAGTTTGTAGTTTGTGCGTGGTTAATTTTCAGTCTGAGTCTCTTACGAGTTTCAATGTTGTATTGTTCAACAGTCGTTGACGTACCGCGCGTGCACTTGTATTCGTGCTTAGGCCCTACTCTTTAATTTTAGCGTAATTTCAACATTGTAAAAGTTGAAATATGTATAATAAGCAAACGATAAATGGGGGGTTTTATACTAAGAATGCAGTTGCAGTTTACTTAAATCTCCTTCCTTCCTGTTTACAGTCGAATGTCAATTAAATTGGGGGTGTTCCGCTTTATTTGTTTTAAAAAATTAAGGCTGCATTTGGTAAGTCTTTCTGTACGGGYTTTAGACTGTTTAGAAGTTTGGAAGTCTGAATTTTGGGCTTTTTCAATTTGGCAATAGAAAGATCTATTGGGAAAAAGCTACAGCCCGTAAAAGACTCTAACAGCCCTAATTTGGGCATTTTCAGGAAACTTCAAATGAAATTGTTACAATCTTTTAATGTACCCCATCTTCTTCGAATGCATGGCATGATGCACATACTTGAGAGAAAATGGGTTATCATTTTCACAATATATATATATATATATATATATATATGAAAGTGGGACCTAGCAATGGTATGTGGGATTCACTTTGGAAAATGTATATAGACCCCACATACATGTCCACACATGGACCCACATGCATGTCCACCAATGATATGTGGGGCCCATCTTGAAAAATGTATGAGGGCCTCATATGCATGTCAACACATGGACCCCACATGCATGTCCACCAATGATATATCGGGCCCACCTTGTAAAATGCATGTAGACCCCACATACATGTCCACTAATGGATTGGTATGTGGGGTCCAACTTAGAAAAATGTATGTGGATCCCATACATTAAATGAGAAATTCGTTGGCCCACACACATATTTTCATTACATTACCAAACCATCTTTAACTTTTATGATTTTTTATGAGATCTATGAAAAACATTTCAATCCAACAGTCTTTGATCTTCCAAAATCTATTTGTAAAAAATTACCCCGTCTTTTAAATTTTAACTATCAAATATTGTAAAAGATCTTCTAGAAAATATTTGCCAAACAGGCATTAAATAAAACCATATATACATACTAGCCGATATAAAGTTGGTGAGTTTCCTAAACATTACATTTTGTGTTGATCAATACAAATACAAATTCAAATTTGTAAGAGATACCTTCTGTACAAACGTTTTAGGTTAATGATAGCTGAAATGTCATTTTTTTGAAGGACCTGAAATGTCAATTTTAATGTTTCAATCATGAGTCCAACTAACTACATTTTGGATTGATGAATTTGAATTGATGCTTCTACAAACATTTTGAATATGTAGATGTACACGTGGTTTGGTGATTCAGTTCGAGTGTAGGTTTTGGGTTTGACTGATCACAGTTGTTATAGACTTGTAGTCTCTAAGCTTTGCATTTCTAGTGTAGGCCCTTTTGTCTGGCCCAATCCAAAATGCTTAGAATCCGATCAGAACCCAAAATGCTTAATTATATTTCCCCACTTGGCACTTGGTTGAGTTGGTTCTTCTAATTAGGGGGTGCATGTGCATCTCGGTTTGTCCCGATCCCGAGTCCCGACTTAGCATTTTACACTGGTTCGGGCTCGGACCAAGCAGAGGCTGAAATAAAGCATCCGTTTGTGACAGACTTATAAAACGAAAAGCTGGTGCTGGCCTCTCACAGATTGGGGAATTATTGGCCATCAAGTTCACAGTTATAATTGAATGGCTTCCACAATTTTATTGTTCTTTTTTAATATTGAATGCTTACAGCTTACTGCCAACCGAACATGAGCTACTCGCAGGCCAAACCAGCCCAACTTTCTCTAACATCTTTACTTGGGCTGAAATTTGGGCGGATTGGGATTTTATCAAAACTTACATCTGTTCATAAGCCCGAAGCTAGTACAATTAAAACTGATAATCAATCAACTGGTATCACAAAATGTGGTAACCAATGAGTGTGTATTACATGGGATATGGTCTCCTCCAGTATATTTACCTTATCCTATGAATATATGAACACATTAATATGATTAAGGGTGAGGCTTTTACTTAAAGCTGAAAGCTAATAAATATGAACTAAGGGCGGGAAGAATATATTACAGTGAGATCATGAGAAAGTTGGTGCAGAAGACCAAATATAGACGCTTTATACTGAGCAAGCAAACTTCGTTGTACTGTGTTCTACACATTTAGAGCATGGGGCATGGCTTCCCTCCACCACCCCTGTTTCTGATTTTGAATGTGATTTAGGTTGCATTTATTTGCCGTGTAAATATGGATTGGTGTAATTAAATACTCTAATCTGCATTTATTGGTGTTTGAATAGTGTAGTTTTATATTGATAATTGATGTAAAATTTCATTGATTATAAAGTTTGATATCGATAATAATGTAAATACAACATCGATAAAATTGATGTAAATATTTACGTTGATAATCACACTTTTCACTTTATAACGGTTTATAACTTTAAATCAATCAGGTATTTGAACTCCAACAATGTATTTTTACATCAATAAATATTTATACCACATTAAAATTCAGACTTGAGGATGATTAAAAAGTGATCTATTTATAATTGAATGGAATATGGATCCACACGTATTTCTGGATATACCTATATCTAGGGATGCAAAATGAATCGGCCCAGAGGGTATATTCAAATCCATTTCGATAGTATAACATCCGATTCAATCCGATTCAAAGATGTGATCAGATCTCATAACATCCAATAAGATTCAATTGAAATTTGATCTCACAATACAACATCTGATCCGATGTGGGGTGTCTGAGTATGATTCGATTCAATTTAATTCATGAAAAACTAAAAAATATAACAATTTATATAAAAAAACAAAAAAATACAAATACATGTGTTTTTATAAAAAACATAAATAATAAAAATGCAAAAATACAATTTAAATATAGTTATAAATAAATAAATAACATATATATAAAAGATCGAATAGGGGGCTGATCCCAATCCGATCCAGAAAACCGACAGGAATATACCCGAAGCCGACAAAATAGGGCTGGATTTCGGATCAGATATCATGATCGGATATTCGGATCATGGGTAATTGGGTATGAGGAACGTGTAGAGTGTGAGGTATTTATACGGACTACGGTAGGAATCATACGTTGTACGGGCGTACGCTGCACAGTTCAAGCCACGTAGTATTGGAAGTCGCGGGAGATTATAAGTTCGTCGAGACAGCCTTTTATTGTCATAAGTTCCGAGAGAGAGAGAGAGAGAGAGAGATGGAGGAAGAGGAACATGAGGTTTATGGGGGAGATATCCCAGACGAGGGAGAGATGGAAGGGGACATGGATGGGAACACTGCCGATGTCGAGATGACTAGGGCGGACGAAGATGCTGTCAAGGTTTTTATTTTTCCTTCTTTTTTTAAATATATGTTTTTTTTTGTGTGTGTGAGATCTTCTTCGGAACCCTAGTGATGGGAGGATTTATGGCTGGAAAATAGCTATAACTGTTGGGTTTTCCTCCGGAGATGCAGGAGTTGGACGAGATGAAGAAGCGGTTGAAAGAGATGGAAGAAGAAGCTGCTGCCCTTCGTGAAATGCAGGCCAAAGTTGAGAAGGAAATGGGTGCCGTACAAGGTCTGTTTTCGTTCTTCTTTGTATTTGTTGTTTGATTCCTCAATTTTATACTATGACTTTTATCTTGTTTTTCCAGGTAATTTTGGGACTCGGATTGTTAACTTTGTTCCTTTTTTTTTTTTAATTTTATCCAATTTTCTTATCACTTTCCTGTTCAGGGAATTGTGCTCGTTAAAACAGTGCAACGAATCATTGGGTTGATTTGGTTTTTTTTTTTTGTATTTATCATTATTCCGGTTTTGTTATATTTTTTCAAAACTATTCCTAAATAGCTTCTTCTGGCAGCATATATCTCGAAACGTTAGGTAATCGAAATGAGATTACTGTTGTATACTGTCTATTCAATACCATGTAGCCTTTCAGTGGTTCATCTAGAAACTTCCAAATTTAGTTACAAAAGAATTAAGTTGTTGCATTGTCATAGAATGGTAAAGCAACTATTTGAATGTAAATTCTTGTGAAATTTATATACATTATATTGGTAGATTAAGTAATTTAGGAAACTTCTTCTGGAAATTTCTCAGGAATCTTTGTTTTTCAATTATGAAAAATAAAATGGGTATTCGATGGTTCCTTCGAATATTTCTAAGGACTTTGACGGTGCAATATCTTATTTTTAGTTTGTGAAGTTGGTTAGATTATTTATAATGGTTCTATAATAGCACTCACTTTACTTAGAGGTCTCAAGTGTGCTAAACCCGTTTTGTTTGAATTCGATTACATTCAGTGCCCCCGTTTTTTGTTTTCATTGTTTTTTGCTCATTCATATTCCTCTACGTTATATACAGATCCTGCTAGTGCAGCTGCAACTCAGGCAAGTAGGGAGGAGGCAGATTCTCGATCAGTTTTTGTTGGCAATGTAAGTTGCATGGTCCCTTGTTCTGTTTGCATTTTTCCATTATAGAGTTTCAATGCTTTGTCAACTGTAGTACGCATACAACTTTGCAAATTGTCTGTTAGTATTCCTATGAGGTAAATTTGAAGAACGAGGTGCTATTGTGGTTCCTTTTTGGCATGATGATTTATTCCTTTCCACTTCTGTTTCAGAAAGTTATTTGAACATAAATTAACATAAACAGACTACATAGAATCTCTCATGCCTTTGCTTTTGTTAAACATCGAAACTAGAAAAGGCTTGTCGTATTTGTACTTTGTGCACCAGACATGGTTGTTCCACTTGATAAAAAATGCCAAGATTCATTTTCTTCTCCTATTAGCAGTTTATTAGTTAGAAAGACTCTCTCTCTATAGTTTGTAAGCACTTTTTTATCAGCTCTGTAGTTTGTAAGCATTGTATGGTAGTCATGTCTTTTATTGTTCTAGTATTGTTTGATAATTGGATTTAGGTTAACGTGGTATGGATAATGGAATTTGTCTTTTTAGCTTTTTTTTTGAAGATGGTAAGGTAAACATGATTGTCGGCACTCGAATTTTGCTCAATCCTTCACCTGAACCCCCACTCACCTTCGAACACCCGATTATACCATTTTGATCCTTCCAACACCCAAAGAACCCAATTCTCAGCCCCCAAATCCCCAAATTCACAAAATACCCCTAGACAATACCACCAGAATACCCTTAAATCCCAAAAATACCCCCTCTTACCAAATGACCAAAATACCCTTAAACAAATTACCAAAATACCTCAAACTAAACTCCTAAAATGATCTACATTCCAAATTCCCAAAATACCCTTCATTCAGAATGACCAAAATCCCCTCATTGGTTAAAATGACCAAAATACCCTTCATTCTCTAAATTACCCAAATATCCCTCTAAACCTCCATGGTCAAACCCTAAATTACTCCAATTGCCTTTTAATACCCAATTTACCAAATTCCCCTTTTAATCCCAACTTTCCAACTTGCCCCCATTCCAAAATTATGAAATTACCATTTGGACCTCAAGTTATTGAACCCTCCTATCCCTTTAAATCCTATCTTGCTAAAATCCCCTCTTCCATCTTGAGAGTTGGTAGAACCTCCCCTCCCCACATTATAAATAGAGTCTCCACTCCTAAGAAAAAAGGTTGAAGGAAAATAGGCTTAAGAAGAGAGGGTCCTAACTCCTAAGGGTTTCAAATGAGTGGGGAAGACCTGAAGTGAGTCGGTGAGGTATCTTTTGAAAGGTAAGAGACGAGAGAGATCTCAGGCGAGAGTAGAGAGGAATTGAGAAAGGGAACGAGAGGTTGCAGAAGAAAAGAAAGAGGAGACTCTCGAACGGAAAAAAAAGACTGAGAGAGGGCTTTGAGGGAGAAATGAGAGTAGAGAAGAGACGAGAGAGAGCTTGAGCAAGAGGTTGCAAAGGAGTTGAGAGAGAAATTAGAGAGGCAAAAGGGGAGAAGATTTCTTTTCCTTCTATACTAGCTACCGAATACATTAGTTGCCTCTACCCTCCCTTCCGTTGATATCCTATTTGCCATTCGGGTTCGATTGTCGCTGTTAGAACCCTCGATCTGCCTCCTTTGTCACCGCCAAACTAAAGTTTCCTCAGCACCAAAGAGCCCAGCTTCATCAAGTTATTAAAACCTTTGCATTCAAGTTTGCTAGTTCTACAGATTMTCGCAACAACATCGTTATTTTGAAGGCTACAAGAGGTAAAATCCCTTACCTCACATCTTGTTTTTTCTAGGCATGTAATCTATTAGTTTGTTTCAAGTTTTTCTTGCTTTGTTCAGTCTTTTATCTTGCTCCTAAGTTCAAGTACGAGAATCACCGAGGTGGGGGTTATGATAGAAAAGGGGTGAGAATTCACCCTTTTGCTCAAACCCCTACATCCAAGGTCAGGAGGGAAGGAGAGAAGCTTCCATGTCCTTTCGAGCTATTGGAGATCCCAGATCCTTAGTTTGAATTAAAGAGGGAAATCCAATATTCACACTRACAAGAGAGAGGGGCGCCTAACTCCTTCCCTCTCTCTCTCTCTCTCTCAACTTACCTAGATTGGCCTTGTCCTGGCTGAATGATGTGGATGTCGCTGTTAATTCCAAATGCTTTGTGAAATTTAAACCCGGGAGACCCATCACTCCCTATTATGCTTTCTTGTGGGTGGTGACTCCATCTGATCAGCCATGAAGTGAACAGCTGGGTTTTCCCAACGTTCACAATGATAATAGTACAACAGGTCCCATTCCTGTACAAAACAGAGCAATGGGGTGACACACCTTCAAATAAGGAGCACAGAGGAAAAAAGAAAATTAGAGGGGGCACAAGCATTTCTATCTAAGCAGCATAAAAATATTCAGGGTGGCAAACCTTAGCAGCTGCAGTCCAGGAGGCAATCTTGCCGAGAACCTTGTAGAGGATTTCATCGTCCTTAGAGATTCTGCCTTTGAAGATCCTATTGTTTCTCTCTGTCCAAGCCACCCAAATCCCAGCTGCAGGAATCTTGTCTCACACAATTTTGCTCTGCTGCTAAGGCCCCTAACTCTCCAAGTGGAAAGGACTGAAATGGAACCTGGATGCACCCAATAACTATTAACTACTGGGATGAAATGTAACGAGATTCTCTGAGAGAAAGGGCAGTGGATGAACAAATGGTCAGTTGTCTCCAAGGAGTGCCCACAGAGTACACAAATAGGATCTTGAATTTGAATTCCCCTTCCGAGTAAGCCATTTCTAGTTAGACTCTTGCCCAGAGCAAGGGACCAAATAAGAAAGGAGATTTTTTGTGGGGTATGAATTCTCCAAGTTGAATTATAAGGGACAGCCTCTGATCTGACCGTCTGTCTCAAGCAAGCAACACAAGATTTAACTGAAAAACATGTGCTATCTACTTTTAGATGGCCAAAGCGAAGAGGGAGAATGATGTGGAGATGCACAAGGGCAGCAGTACTATGGGTACTATGGGAGGAAAGAAATCGGAGATTATTTGAAGATAAGGAAAGATGCAAGGCAGAAATGATAGAAAGTATTATGATGAAGGTGATCTCATGGGTGAAAACACTGAATTTATTTTCAAATTTTATAGTGGATGATATGATTAGGAATTGGAGGTTAGTTGCTTTCTCTTCCTTGTCTAAAAAGAAGATCCTGAAGGAGTGGGTGCCCCCTGAACCAAGCTTTGTCAAATTGAACTTTGATGGCAGCAGGTTTGGAAACCCAGGAAGATCTGGAATCAGAGGGGTTATAAGAAATGAAAGAGGAAATGTGTTGGGGCTGTATTCGGGTCCCATTGGAATTGGAAATTCCATTACAGCTGAACTGAAGGCAATGGTATATGGGATACAAAAAGCTAAGGAGATGGGGGTGGAAAGGTTGGTTGTGGAAGGGGATTCCAAAGTTATCATCAGTTGGCTAAAACAACATGACAGCACACCCTGGATATTCAGAAATGACATCAAGAAGATTAAAAGTCTATCCAAGGACATGCAGCTTTCAATTAAGTGGACCCATAGAGCAGCAAATGGACTTGCAGACCAGCTAGCCAAACAAGGGGTGAACAGGGATCAATGTTTCTAGGCTCAACTGTAAGAGTGAAAAGTAAATTTACTAGTGGATGCACTGTAGTGGGGTATCCGAGGCTACACATAAACTATAGCCCCTGTAATTTCTTTTTACTGATAAAAAAAGGAGTTTTTTTTGAGAAAAAGTTAACCAGATTTCATTGATAGAGATAAAGGTGTACTAAAAGAGAAAACAGCAGAAATACAAAATTACAAGGGGGGAAGCTTGTTGCTGTATAAATTTTCTAGGTTTGCTCCCAATTTATCTAATCCATCAGCAATATGATTCATCTCCCTTGGGATCCACTGCAGAATAACATTCAAATGTTCCAGGGTGTCTCTTGCCTCTGACAGGTAATGACTCAACCTCCATAGGCTCCCCTCCTCTTTCAGCCATTTGATGGTATTGGCTGAAATCTCCTACTATGGATAATTTCTGAATGCCTAGGTTTCTTATGATTCTGATACAAGTGAGGGCTGCCATCACTTCAGCCTTTGTTGAGTCTGTAATACCTAATGGACCACTAAACACCCAAYAAATCAGTCCCTGTTCATCCCTCAAAATTCCACCTATCCCAGCTTTGCCCGGATTGCCTGCAGCACTCCTATCAAAATTTAGAATCATCCCTGCTTCAATTTGAGGAAGCTGAAGACTTCTGGTTGGTTGAGGGTGATTTGGGAGATCGTACAGTAACAGCGAAACAATGGAGTGTAACAGTGAAACAAAATTCATGCAGCTCATCCATTTAGTCAGAATAAGGATTGTGATGTTAACAATTTCAGTAACCAAATACCTTTTACTGCTGTGTTGAATATTCAATGCCATAGTTGACATGATATCCCTAAACAAAGTGAGTCTTCAAGTCTAGAAGAAAAGAGAACAAAAAGCAAAAGCCGAAACAACAAAAAATCCTCATAAATGGAAAAACTACCCAGGGGGATTAGAACCCAAAAACCCAGAACAGATGGATCATTCCAAGTTCCAACCCCTTCCCAGCCTAGACATTCAGGAACACAGTTTGCAGGTTTAGAAACATATTTGTTAAGGTACTAAATCAAGATTGGGTGACAGGGGAACACCTTGTTGCCTAGAGAACTAGGCCTAGGTGCCCACCTAGGTGATATTTCTAAATAAAAATATAGTTGTTTTTTATTTTGGATAAGTAAATGCTGAAAAAAGGTTGATTTTAATTTGTTTCCCTATTCATTTATGAATTATCTTGTTTTTCTCATCAGTATAACGACTAGAAAACAATAAAAGCAAACAAACAAGAAAGAATCAATCAATTAAAGTGGAACTAAAACAACATTCATAGCCTATGAGAATCTAGGGGATGAATATCTATTTAGTTAATGCAAGAGGGAGATGCAAAGAAAATGTGCGTTAAGCAAGAATAGGAGAAAGCAAACATAAGGGC